AGTGATAAATAATGAGCAATCATTTAGTGAAAATCTTCCTAAAGCTATTTTCAAACCAATTTTTAGTATCCAAGATGATGGATTTGGAGCTCGTGTTCGGCATAGAAGTTGTAGATCTCTCTTTTATCTTTCCAACGAGACAAATATCATAATAATTGAACAAGTGTAGCTTAAGTTATGCCCAAAATGTGAAACCATATTTATGCTGAAGCTAGCAAGTCTGCTCGCTATAGCGAGAAAACCAGCGAGAAAGAGTGGAATTTCAAAAATAAATCGCTGGAATGCTTCCTACAGCGAGCAGCGTTCTAAACAAAGGCCCACGGGTCTTTTCGTTAAAAAGGGGACGAGCTAGGACTTTTGAAATCACTTTTGACAGCTTGGGGATGACTTTGAAGGCAGATGAGCTTTGTTTTGGATCTGAGAAGTCGAAGGAACGATCAAAGCTTCACTGCGGAGACCGATTTATGAGTTCTTTTTATGTTTTTCATTAGCTTCTTATTTTTTTTCTTAGTTTTCCTGACTATGTCAGGCTGAGTTCTTTTGTAGTTAGGGTTAGATGAAACCAACGAATTTCTAGTGATATTTATTCCTTTCCTATAATTTGTTATTCAGTTTTATATTATGCACTCATAAATGAACACATGAATCACCAAGGGGTTGTTGGTGTAGGATTTCGATTGGTTAATTGCTAGGTTTTGCTTGATCTAGGGATAGACTTGTGAAATCTATGATCTTTAATTCTTGTTTTTAATGCTTTCTTTAGAAGAAATCACTAAGGGATTATGATTTTGAATAGGGTAAAGAATTGAATCACCAAGGGGTTGAGGTTTAATCAATCTAGAAAGAATTGTCAAAAATATGAATTGAATATTAGTTATAGAAAATGGTAGATTCATTAGGAAGACATCGGGGAAATCAACACCTAGTTATGCTTTGCATTCTTGATTTCACACCATTCTTGATTCTTGATTATTGTTCTTGTTAATTAATTGTTAGTTTTAGTTTGTATTTTATATTCCAATCATATTCCCAACAACTTTTACGATCGATCCAACTTTGATCGTATAGATAAATAATTGCTTGATAGATCAATTCTCATGAGAACGATATCTTACTTATCACTTTATTACTTGAACGACCGATATACTTGCCGTGATCACAACATGAAAGTAACATAGAGTCATCAAAGCACATGGAGGCCTTTTCATACAAGGATGTTCCTTAAATGAACCCACAAAAAGCTCATCTTCCCATGCGATATTTCATCATCTCCTTTTTCTCGTCGAATAGGAAATGTGTTAGAAAAATATAATATAAAATTATTTATGAGTCTTTATTTAATAACTTAAATTTTTAGGTAAAATAATTATTTATCACTTGATATTAATTTTAATGATAAATATTTTTCTGTCTATATATATTGGTGAATAGTCGAGCCGAAGCCCATTATATGACTATATTAAACTTTTACCCCTTCAAAAAATAAATAAGTGGAAAAATTCTTTTCAGACAGAAGCAGGCACAAGTGTTTGTGTTTTGAGTAAGAAATGGAATGCTTGACTAAATCAAAGCACGATATGATTAAGATAGTTCGGCCTGTTTCATTGACACCCACAAAGGTAGGGAGAGATATCCATTTAAAACCTTACTTTATAATATATTGCATTGCAATCTTCTTCTGTTTATCCTTTTAAAAAAGTATGATCGCCTTTGATTTTATGGATTATTATTATGTGATAACTAATACAAGATGTGTTACGGGAGCATGATTATAGGTTAGAGAATAAATGGGTGGCAAGGAATCCAACAACTTGAGATGATATTTAAAAACTAGATAAGAAGGAAATTAAATAGTGAACATTCATAACTAAGTTGCAAGAACAACGCAAAGTGAAGTGCAAAATCATTTGTCCCTCTGTTTTGAATGGGAAAACTTAAAACTCTGTAATTTTTTTTCAGAGTTACTTACCCTCATAACTTGGTTTTTCATCCAAAATTAAAGTTGATAGGATCAACTTTTTTAAAAAAATATCAAAATTATCCTTAAAAAAAAAAACAGAGAAGAAGCTACGTTGTGGGTGTTTGAAACAATTTCAAATTGAATCGTCATCTCTATCAAAGGGCACCAAGAAAAAATCATAAAAAAGAGTGACACAAATAAAATATATCAAAAAATAATAATTTACCAAGAGTAATCTCGAAAAATTTCAACTTGGAAATAACCATTGATTCAATACATATACACAAAAAATACCCAAAATTCAAAATAAGCATTGACCACGAAAAAGAATACGGTAAGGATTCAGTTCACCATAAAAGGTGGGTTATGTTATACGTGTTGGCGTTTGGAGGAAAAGAAGGCAAAAGGATCGTCAAAAACATAAACACAAAGGACAGAAATCACATATTCACAAGTTTCAAACAAAGAGAGATACGTAACTAAATTTATGAAATTCAATACAACAACGCTTACAAATATTTCTCCTTATATTTCGGAGCTGTGTAGTGTTGTGATTTGTGTTCTCTCTCTTCCTCTACAGTGATAAAAAAAGGCTATAGAGCATCAGATGAAGGCAAGGCGATGCAAGTCGCAGCCACGGGACATCAAGGGTTCCTCTACGTTGTTTTTTTTGTTTTTTTGTTTTAAGGGTAGTTAAGGTATTTTTCAAAAAAAAATAACCCAGTTAACTTTATTTTTGGATGAAAAATTAAGTTAGATATTAAGTGATAAAGAAATTTTAAGTATGTATGTAAATGATTTAAAAAATTGGAAAGGAGTTAAGTGATTCTAGACAAAACTTACTGGATTTTTTTTGAAGTTTTCTCTTTGAATTATTAGGCTACAATAATTATCTTGATTAATGTCTCGCTCACTAAATCATAATTACGGTGTCGTGATCCCATTGCCTTTTTTTTATTAACTTAATTTTTAGCGAAAAGTTCAAATATCTTCATGTAATTTGCCTTTCGGTCACTTATCTTTTTATGCTTTTTTTTTTTCATTTACTCACTATACTTTTTCCTATTCAAATCTTTCTTTAATAATATTAGAATTTCTAATTAATATGACTTCTTACTAAAATACACTTAAGTTATTGGCTTATGCATTAGCATCATTCTTTTGAGACTAAGTCGCCAGTTAGTTCTTCCTGAAACAACGGATTGGTGGCCATCCTATAACTTGCGCTCTGATTATTGGGTCATATAATTTATTGGTGTCATATACAAAATATCATTACTTAAATATGTTAATAAAATTATTGGTGGAATATTTTCTTATGTTTTATTATTGAATGTATATTTACATTAAAAGATCGTTTTCACCTAATTAAATTTAAAATATTTAATATAACTTTTTATTCATGTTGGCTTCTTGAATACGCTTAAATAATTTATTAAATTTATGCATAACCATATGAATATTTTTGGAAAAATATGAACGCACGTATACCTTTCTGTTCTTTAATACAAACTCCCGAGTCACGTCTACTATTTATCGTATACCAATGGTTCTGTGTTTAACTTTTTTCTGACCACAAAAAACGTTGGTCTGTAATTTCAGAAAAAGACAAAACAATGGCGAAAGAACAGTCAAAGTTTGGCGTAAATGACAGTAAACAAGTAAATGTAATATTAATGCGTGAGACAGATCCACCTACACTCCTAAAGATTCAATTAATTTTTGTGGGTCGTGTTGCTTAGACCAAATCAACCATGAAGTTTTTTTTTTTTCATAGTAAGAACAATATTAATTTTGTAAATATAAGAATGGACATAATATCAATTTTCATGTTCATGTAAACTTTCTTAAAATGTGTGTTTATTTATTTTTTAAAAGAAAACAATTTTACTATTAAAAATCACGAACTTCAAATATTAAAATTTAAAAATATTTAAAATATAAGAATCAAGAGTAGTGATGGTTGGATTGACAAAATACTACATAAATTTGATATGATATTAATGCACACAACATAAATACTGACCCGTAAATTTTACGAATTGAAATAACACGAAATGAATGACACCTAAATTATAATAAAATACACGACACGATATAAATTTTTTACGTATCATATTTTCTCAAAAGAAATACGAAACAAATTTTTTTACGAGTTAACTTGAATATGAATTTCGTGTTATGTCATGAGTCGACCCATAAACAATCCCAAATTAAAACTACAATTAAATCATAAAAACTAATCAAGCCTTTGTTAACCTTGCACGATATATGAAATTTATACAATCGCTCAATTGCTTTAAAAACATATACTAACATCTTTTATTTCACAAGAAAATATTTGTTTTAACTTTTTTTTTTCTATATGTAGCATTTTTGGTAAAATATGCACACAATTTTTTTTTTTTAAACTTACATAATTTTGAGAAAATAATGATGACTTGTAGATATCATTTTAATTCTTGATATCGAAGAAAATTATTTTAAGAGTTTAAAAATGAAACATTATACATGTAATTTTTTTTTTCTTTTTTCTAATAAAGATGAAGTAAAGCCTCCATTGTTGACCGAGAGTACACCATTGCTCAAGTGGCATTTTCCTTCTCTTTTCCTTTTGATGTCAACTTGCAAGGACACGTACAATTTTTACAATTTTCTTTTTATACAAAAAGCAAACAACTAATTGAAATTGCATTATTATTGGGGAACTTCATCTGGACCCCACCGAAAATAATAGTTTCCAGGAAACAAGGTCATCGAAAATGACAACTAACGCCACAGGGACGGCGCCGTTACCTTACCTCAGCTTCGGGTGGCAACGAACGAGAAAAGAAGAGACGGAAGTGACGTGTCCATGAGGCATGACAAACGTCCAACGTTAACGTAGCCCCTTAAAAAGAAAGACCCGGTCTGGTGAGACAACGCCACCTGTCAAACCCTTTCTCTCTCTTCTCACGCGTCAATCCGTCGAAAGTCGGTGGCAATGGACCCCACCTTTGTCTCTTTCCTCTTTCTCTATATATCACTCTTTTTTTCTCCATCTTTTCCTTCACCGACGATTTTCATTTCTAAACATCCCTCTTCTCTTCCTTCCTTGTGTTCTGAAGAGGGAGAAGAAGAAAGAAAGAAACAAAGAAAAAAAAGGAAGAAAGATAAAGAACAAACCAAATCACCAACAAACAAAAATCTTCGTTTTTAGAGCAGATTCAGATCCACAAGCTCCTACCCTTTTTTTCTTCTAATTTATTACCTTCTTTTTTCTACCCGTTTAACGTCATGGGCACCGAAGTTCTGCGGCCACACGACTGCTTGATCGAACGGATCAGAGTTCCGGCGCCGGCGACGTCCTTTTCCCGGCGGAGGACTTTTGGGAATTATTTATATAACAGTAATAACTTTTTAGCGGCCAGCTCCGGTAGGACTCATCGGAAGCCTATGACCCGACCCGACCAGAAGAAACGGATTATGGCGGCGGAGAGAAGGCCGAGCTCCGATGATTCGAGGGTGACGAGGAGCAGCGGGTTGGTGATGGAGAAGGTGACGATTCTCCGGCGAGGAGAGTCGCTCGATTCGAAGGTGAAAGGTGAGGCTTTGAAGAGGGAAGGTGATGATTTGGTGGTCATCGGAACCGAGAGGATTGGACCCGACCCGGAAATGGTCCCGAAGCATATCCGAATCGTGGATGTGAAGACCGGGCTGGACGTTTACGCCGGTTCGGCGTTCGCGATGTCCCCGTTGCCGAGCGCGCTTCCTCTTCCTTCTTTTCAGAGGAAGCAGCCATCGGCGGCGGTTGATGACTCCGCGACGCGGGATCTGAGGCGCTTGCTCCGGCTGGAATGAGCTGAAAACGGGTTGAATTTCCGGGTTCGGGTTCGGTTGGACCCGATGATTATCCATCATCTCATCTTCTTCTGCTTCTCCTTAATCTAGAGTCTTCTCCTTATCCGTTACGCCCTTCCCGGTTTCGTGTTCTGACCCGACCGTGATTTTTTTAAACGGAAGGGCAGATCTGAAATTGGGGGAAGAACTTTGGGGCGAAAATGTTAATTAAAGAAGTTTGGAGTAGTGTACGAGCAAATATGTAAGATTGTAAGTTCTTGTGGTTGTGGAGGTTGTTAAGGGGGTATGTTTAGGTTGTAATCTCATGTTAGAATGGAAAAATGAACTAAAAATAAATAAAAATAAAGAAGGAAGATGAGAGGAAGATGGGGTTTGATTTGTAAAATCCCGAAGTGATATGTGGGCTGTAACTTAAAAAAGTGAAAAATGGATTCTGCTCTGTTGTGAATTATTTGCCAGCGTCATGCAGGTTTGTACCGTTTTGTTCTGTAAAGTAACAAAATTAAATAGGGAAATTCGGGCGGATTTCGTAATTTTCTGTCACTTTTTTTTTTTTCAGATTTTGTTACTCTTGTTTGATCATATGAAATAAACTGCAAAGGGAACCGAAGAATAAAGTAATGAATCCTATTGCCTCTTGATTATATCAAAAAAATTCAAGTACGAAATTTTTGGCATATTTTTTTTTTTAAATTTTTTTTGATAAGACTACGGTGGCAGCTATAATTTATGTCCATGATTTCTGTTTCTTTTCCACAATATAAAAGGAAAAGAAGAAATTGTATTCTGGTTTAGGGATAGGATGATGTGCTGGTGGTTGTGAACAACTGAACATACGATTGAGGCATAAAAAATGTCCGTAATTTAGTGTGTGGTGTTTTCAGAAGAAGACGCGGTTGTGTCAATTGTGTGGAGTGTAGAGGAAGAAGGCCTTACCTTGCAATCGCAATGGCAGCTATGAACCGTGTTTTAGTTGTTGTCTTATGTCATGTACATCATCGATCATATGATGCTGTACACGCTTATGTCAGAAACCGAAATTCTGTCGTGAAGCGGATCACATGCAGTGCACTGATTGAGAAAAATTAGGAGTAAATGTTTTCTAAAATAAATTATAAAATGTTTGGTGTAGAATGAGAAAAAATCTTCGTACATTTAGGTTATACTATATGCTTATAATCTTTCCCTATAATTATATATTTGGGACAATGACCATATTGTCACTTTTTGGGCAAAATTTTATCTGATTGCCACGCCTTAAATTCTTTTTGCCAAAATGCCACGTCACAATCCCGCTGGTCTGACAAGCGGGATTAGATTGGACACGTGTCAGCGTCTGAATGGTTAACCATTCTCGCTGGGCTGCCCAGCTAGAATGACAGAATGCTGACACGTGGCAAAAGTACAGGCATTCTCTGGATGTCTGAACTTTTGCCATGTGTCAGCATTCTGTCATTCTAGCTGGGCAGCCCAGCGAGAATGGTTAATCATTCAGACGCTGACACGTGTCTAGTCCATTCCCGCTTGTCAGACCAGCGAGATTGTGACGTGGCATTTTGGCAAAAAAATTTTCAGACGTGGCAATAAGGTAAATTTTCGTTAAAGGAGTGGTACAATGGTCAATGTCCCTATATATTTTATAAAATATATATTTTATAATTTTTTTTTTTGATAACATAATTTTATTTTAACTATCATCATATTTAATATTGTATTTTTCAAAATATATAATTTGTAATTTTACGAACGCTTAGCAAAGTAGCACTGAAGATGTTATTGTGGAATGGCTAGGGGTGAAAATGAACTGGGCTGAGTCAAGTTTTACCTTAAAAAGTTCAAGCTTACATAAAAAAATTTCAATTCGACCTGATCCAAGTCTAGTACGAGTTTAACTGTTAGCTTGACTTGGTCCGTTTATAAAAAAATAAATGGACTGGCTTAGCTTGTTAGCCTGTTAATTTTTAACTTCCAAGCAGAATAATAAATCAACTTTACAAAATACTTAAATTTTGTTGCTAAACCAATCATAATATTATTCAACGTCCAAACAGAATCATGAATAACAACAAAACTCATACAATCTTCAATTAAGTTACTTTTAAAAGCAAAATGTTCAAACTAAATAACATAATTCCATCATATCCAACAAACAAATTCATACTATGTAAATTAAAATAACATATACACAATCAGATTGTGACAATCTAATATGCTGAGATCTTGGTTCCTCCTATATAAGAAATAAGTTAGATTTCTATTAAAATATAATTGAATATAATTAAGTTATAAATAGTTGCAATTGATTAAATTTATATCTTTTATTTTTTCTTCAAGACATACTTATTCCATTTTATTTTATTTAAAATAAATAGTACAATATAAACCGGCCTGTAGACTTATAGACCAGGCCTTGTGAAAGTGAGCCTACAGCCTTTTCATTAAACAAGTTTTTTTAAAGCCCAAGTTCAACCTATTTTACGAAATATATTAAGTTAGATTTGACCTGATGTAGGCCGATCCGTAGGCCCTGTAAGCCAACTCGGCCCAGTTCACCCCTAGCTATGGCTAAAAGCCTAAAAGTTAAAGGGAAAATGCTCATTACAAATGGAAAGTGCCCACCGCTTATGGAAAATGCTTATTTACAAATCTTCTTTCCAATAACATTTATTAAATTCGGTAACTAAATCCAATTGCGTTAAATAGGATGAAATTAATTATAATTAAATAAAAAATAATGTGTATATATGTATGTATAACATTATTCAAGTAAAAGAGATTGACTTATTACTGGATGCATGCGCAATTAAGATTGACGAGGACGCCATTGAGTAGCTTCAAGGCTATTGTTACACAAAGGGACAACAATAGCAACGAACAGAATAAAAGAGAAAGCATTGAGCCAGCCAAAATAATCAGGGAAAGAGTTCCTTCATCAAAGCTTAAAGACTACTATTGCTGAGGACACGTGTAAGTGGTTGGTGAGTTAGATGACAGGTGTAATGGGTTGGAAGTGGGAAAGTTAGAATAGGACACCTAGTCAAGGGTTAAGTAGGAACATTGTATATATGTCAAAGAGAACATTATTCTGATTCATTCATTGATGTAATAAACAATCGGTTACTTGAATACACGTATTGTACTTTCTGCTGCTCAGAGAGTTCTTTACCCATTTCATTGTTCTTGGTTCTTCTTCCTGTTGCTCAGGTAGATTGCAATACTGGTGCTTCCATTCTTGATCTCTTCTCACAATGCGGGTTCAGGAATTAGCAGAGGTGGTTGCAGCTTTGCAGAATCGCTTCGACGAGTCACAGAACCAGATCTCACTATTGATTGATCAAATGCAACAATTGACTGATTCCATGGGGGTTCTTCATTCCCATTCCGGGAAATCACCGGTGAATCATCAAGATCCAGTCACCGAATCATCTTCTTCCGGTCCGGTAGGGGCTCAGAACGAAATGGAGCAAAAGGAAAATACAGACCCACGCGCATTGCTGAAGTTTGTTAAAATGGAGATTCCGCTATTTGATGGCACAAATCCAGACAATTGGATTTTCAGATCGGAACTCTTCTTCGACTTGCAGCGGGTTCCACCGGCGTTAAAGGTTCAACTCGCAGGTCTGAGGATGGAAGGTCCTGCTTCGTCATGGTTTCAGTGGTCTTATAAAGGGGGCACAATTCAGTCCTGGACGGATTTCACGAAGGTACTCAGGCAGCGTTTTGGTGTGAAACCGCATCAAAATATTACGGGCATGCTCTCCAAGGTAACACAAACAGGAACACTCAAAGATTATCTGTTTGAATTTGAAAAGCTGATGAACCAAACCACAAATGTTGATGATGAATTATTATTGAGCTTCTTTGTCTCGGGATTATCTTCTGATCTGCGAAGGGCCATTGAGATTCATGAGCCAAGCACTCTTCAACGTGCAATGCATTTTGCGTTTGTATATGATGCACATTACACAGAACTACGAGTCTCACTGAACAATGGGGTATCAACTACTACGAAGAAACCTCATTTTCGTAGCCCTTATTCCAGCGAAGGTGTTACAAATCATTCTTCCCAATTGATTTCATCAATGGGGGGTACTACACAGAACAGACCCATGGCATCACAAACGTCAATATCTCAGCCTACTTCATCTCTCACATCTACATCTCAGACCCCAATTAAGAGGCTATCTCAAGAAGAGTGGACCAAGAGGAGGGAATTAGGCCTATGCTTTAGCTGCGATGAGAAATGGACTAATAAGCATCGGTGTAAAGGAAAATTCTTGTTCATGGTGGGAGAGGAACTCGAGGATGAGGACGAGGGGGAAGAAATTGTATGGAATTCTAGTGGGGCTGGCACGAACGTTGAGGATGCTGCACTGCATTCTTTATCAGAGACACGAAATTCCAAATCCTTGAATTTTGTCACCAGCATTCAAGGACAAACAGTGGCAATCCTTGTAGATACTGGAAGCACACATAGCTTCATACAAAGGGAGTTGGTCACAACTTTGAAAATTCCAATGGTCAGAATCAGGAAAATGAGAGTTTTCCTTGGAAACGGTGAATTCTTAGTGTGTGACTGTAAGTGTCCGAAAGTTAAGTTGTTGGTACAGGGCCAATCCTTCGAGACAGATTTATGGGTCCTTGATTTGGCTAATCTAGGAATCATTTTACGGATGACCTGGTTGGAATCCTTGGGAAAGGTAACACATGATTATATTCATTTGACAATGGAATTTGAGTGGCAAGGTAAGCTGGTTATTCTGACAGGTGAGTCTCAAACAGACAACCACAAGAATTCTGCATTGGGAGGTTGCTTAGCTATCACCTGTGACACGCAACATCAATTAGAAGATGCAGTTGATAATGAATTGTTGCAATTACAGCCCTCTGTTCATCCAGACCTGTGGCACATTTTGGTGGAGTATCAAGCTGTGTTTTCTATTCCTAGGTCACTGCCACCTTGCCGCCCAATGGATCATGCGATTCATTTGGAAGCTGGAGCCAGACCAGTCAATGTAAGACCATATAGATATGGTCATCATCAAAAAGAGGAGATAGAGAAACAGGTATCCGACTTATTAGCTTCAGGCTTCATTCGATACAGCACAAGTCCATATTCTTCTCCAGTTTTATTAGTTAAGAAACAGGATAAAACTTGGAGAATGTGCATAGACTATAGAGCTCTCAATTCTCTTACGGTTCGTGGTCGATTTCCTATGCCCACCATTGATGAATTGATCGATGAATTAGGAGGGTCCACCATATTCTCCAAGCTTGATTTGAGGGCAGGTTATCATCAAATCAGAATGCTTCCTCAAGACATCTCCAAGACAGCTTTTAGGACCCATGAGGGTCATTATGAGTACTTAGTCATGCCTTTTGGTTTGACTAATGCTCCAAGTACATTTCAGGCAGTGATGAACCATCTATTTCGACCCTTTCTTCGCAGGTTTATCATCGTTTTCTTTGACGACATTCTTGTGTTCAGTTCTTCAATAGAGGAACATATACAGCATATGCAGATTACTTTACACACTCTTCACTAGAATCAATTTTTTGTGAAAATTAGCAAATGTGCATTTGGGGTGGATGAGATTGATTACCTTGGCCACAAGGTGTCTTACAAAGGGGTTCATGCTGATTCCAAAAAGATAGAGGCAATGATGTCTTGGCCACCACCTAAGTCAGTTAAACAACTGCGAGGTTTCCTAGGTCTCACGGGTTATTACAGACGATTTGTGAAGCATTATGCCATCATAGCTTCACCTCTCACGGATTTGTTGAAGCAAGGGGCTTTTAGCTAGAGTGAAGATGCTCAGCAAGCCTTCGATTACTTAAAAAAGGCAATGGCCAGCACTCCTGTTCTGGTATTACCCAACTTCAATATTCCATTTGTCCTAGAGACTGATGCATCCAATACAGGGATTGGTGCCGTGCTGCTACAACTCAATCAACCAGTTTCGTTCTTTAGCAAACGATTGGGTCCCAGACTAGCTACGACCTCTACTTATGTAAGAGAGTTGTATGCCATTTGTGAGGCTGTTAAGAGGTGGCGACAGTATTTACTTGGTGCTCATTTCACAATTCGTACAGACCATAAAAGCATTAAGGAACTGCTGGGGCAAACCATTCAGACCATGGAGCAACAAAAATACTTGTGTAAGTTGATAGGTTATTCCTTTAATATTGAGTACAAACCTGGTTATCTCAATGTGGTTGCAGATGGGCTCTCTCGTTGCTATGAGGAGGAGCAATTGGCTGCTGTCTATACGTTAATCGGTGAACCAACGTTTGATTTGCTAACTAGAATCAAAGAGGAAAATGGCAGGGAGGCATATCTGATTTCTTTACATCAGAAACTGTTACAGGATCCTTGTTCGTTACCTCAGATTTCTGTGAAAGAAGGCATGTTGTTCCATAGACAACGTTTTTTGGTGAGTCCTAAATCAAGCCTCATACCAGAAATTCTACAAGAAGCTCATGATTCCACACTAGGGGGACATGCTGGAGTACTCCGTTCCTTATTACGGGTATCATCATCGTTTTATTGGGATACAATGCGCAAGGATGTAAAGGACTATATACGTAATTGTCAAGTGTGCCAACAATTTAAATCCTCAACATCAGCTCCAAACGGTTTACTCCAGCCATTACCAACTCCTGAAGGCGTGTTTGAAGATCTTACTTTAGATTTCATTGTGGGCCTACCACTGTCTCATGGATTTACTACAATTTTAGTCACTGTGGATAGATTGAGTAAGTTTGCTTATTTTGGTGCATTACCCACTTCGTTCACAGCTGCCAAAGTAGCACAACTTTTCTGTGATATGATCGTTCGCAATCATGGCTTTCCACGCTCCTTAATTTCTGACCGTGATAGAATTTTTTTGAGCCAATTTTGGGTGAGTTTATTCAAGCAAAGTGGCACCACTTTGAAGGCCAGTACGGCTTACCATCCTCAAACAGATGGACAAACGGAGGTAACTAACCGATATGTTGAACAATATCTACGAATTTTTTGTCATGAGAAACCTCACACATGGTCCCAATTTCTCTGTTGGGCACAATTTCACTATAACACTGCTGTCCACTCTGCCATTGGCATGTCTCCGTTTGAGGCTCTTTACGGTAAGAAACCTGTCATGTTACCTTATTATCCCAGGGGGTTAGTGAAAGTAGAGGCAGTGGATTCCTTGCTGCAAGAGAGGAATGCCTTACTGGTTGGTTTGAAACGTTCCCTGACTCGTGCTCGAAGCAGAATGAAAAATCAGGCAGATAAGCATCGACAAGAGCGGTTGTTTGAGGTGGGTGACTTTGTATGGGTAAAGCTCCAACCCTACCGCCAAGTTTTTGTAGAGAAGAGGTGTAATCACAAGCTAGGGAAGCGTTTCTTTGGTCCTTTCCGAGTTGCCAAAGTTATTAGCTCGGTAGCTTATCAATTGGATCTTCCTGAAGGGTGCAGAATTCACCCCACATTTCATGTCTCATTACTTAAGCCATGGTTTGGTCCTACCTCTCCCACACCATTATATGTACCCAAGTTATCCATTGATAACCGACCAGTGCAGGTACCCATTGCGGTGATTGCTTCACGCACACAAACCATTCGTGGCCAGCAACACAAGGAGTCTCTCATCCAATGGTCTCCACCTGAAGATGCATCATGGGAACACGAACAATACTTACGCAGTGCATATCCAGCTATCAACCTTGAGGACAAGGTTATTGTTGAAGAGGGGGAATATGTTACACAAAGGGACAACAATAGCAACGAACATAATAGAAGAGAAAGCATTGAGCCGGCCAAAATAATCAGGGAAAGAGTTCCTTCATCAAAGCTTAAAGACTACTATTGCTGAGGACACGTGTAAGTGGTTGGTGAGTTAGATGACAGGTGTAATGGGTTGGAAGTGGAAAAGTTAGAATAGGACACCTAGTCAAGGGTTAAGTAGGAACATTGTATATATGTCAAAGAGAACATTATTCTGATTCATTCATTGATGTAATAAACAATCGGTTACTTGAATACACGTATTGTACTTTCTGCTGCTCAGAGAGTTCTTTACCCATTTCATTGTTCTTGGTTCTTCTTCCTGTTGCTCAGGTAGATTGCAATAGCTATCTTAAATTCTTAATAACTCCTTGACAAGGAGCGTGTACAAATATTATGGAAAGTGGAAGCTGACATTGGTTTATCCAGGAGCTATTCCTAGATTTGTATAGTTTTTAAAATTCAGCATGGGTTGTTGAATTGAAGCAAAATATATATGCTGCATTCATGAAGTACAAAAAGAAAAAAAAATGTAATCTTGAGATACTATTTAAAGCTCTTGAAATTGCAAGACCTCTGAGAAACTAAATGAAGTTGTGTAAATGTCACTCCCACTCTTGGGAAATAGGGTGATCAATTTTTTCTGTTTGTCCCAGCTTCATATTCTAGCCTGCAAGATTTCTTCAGCCCAGCCCTGAGTGGCCCATTCGTACGCTTTTGCAATTTTTACGCTTAACCGACCTTACATATTTTGTTTTTGTAATTTCGATTCGGGTGAGGATTGAATTTCTCCGTCTTAAACAGTTACCTTTTATCATTGTGATCAATACTTACTGGGTTATTTGTTCCGGTTCTGATCAGCAACAAGGTGGACCAACATTGATGAAAATGTTTATTTTGCAAAAAATACAATTATAACCAACCTAACTAGTTTACTAAAATTAAATAATAGCATAAATGTTGTAAAATATTTAAGTAGATGAATATTCACTTTCTTATGACTTTTAATGTATTTTTAACCATCACACTTATGGTGTATTTAAGTGTACTTAATCTTTCATTATGTATTGAGTTCTATATAAGGACACGACTCTTATAGGAATGACGTTGATAAATGAGATTAAGAAATTTTTCTCTTTGTCTTCTCTCTTATTTCTCCTACTTATCTTGTAATATCTATCTATCTCATCTCTCAATCTTTATTTTATAACACATTATCAGCAGCATGATAACCTCTACCAACTAAGATTAAATGGTGAACATCTAAGGGGGAGTTAGACTTTTGAACCTTATATATTCTATCCATTATTCTTACATTTTATCTTTTTTATTTGTAAGTTTGTTAGCAAGATTTAATTTTCTCTGATATGAAAATACTAGAATAATGCAGGATATTTACTTGAATCATACAAAGGTAGATCCCAAACAAAATTTCAATCACAAGTGAAATTACAACTATTTCATGGCGTTCAACAAATTTAATTTTTTTAAGAGATAATTTGGTAGACATCGCTTAATTCAAGTTTTGAGAAACTGATATATTAAACTGAGATTTGCAGCGGAGACATTAAATGATGTTATAATCAGATGGAGTAAAATATGTGTTGCTCTCTTTTTTCCTTCACCAAGATTTTGTCCCATTGGATTTTTCTGATAAGGTTTTTATTGAGGTAGCTTGCAATATATATTATTAGAAATGTATACTCTATTTCCTTCACTATGACTTCTATAAGGATTTTTTCTAGTAAGGTTTTAACAAGATACATTATTTTAATGAATATGTAAGGGAGAATGTTATAAATAATATAACTATATGAATGTCCATAACCCCAAAGAAATAATGTATTAGCTCTTGTAACTCTATAAGTTAGTAATATGCAATTAGGAGGATTCAATATTGTCATTTATTCCATTGTAACTTAGGGTGATTTCGAGTCTATGAATAGAGTCCATGTACAAATCTTGGACAGAGATTAACACAAGACAATGAAAATTATCTTTCTTTCATTTTTGTCCCAATTTCTCTCTCTCTCTCTCTCTCTCTCTCTCTCTCTCTCTTCTCTTGCCTCTACTATATTCTGGTTACCTTTTGTTTCATAACACATCATTAACACGATAACCTCTACCAACTAAGATTAAAAGGTTTTCGCAAAAGTAATTTTTCGTGTACGAGGTAAGTATTTAGTGGATATATTCATTTGTTTATTCTTTTATCAATTTTCATTCATTCATTCTTCTTCTAACAATTCTCCTTTTTTGATTTTTATTTATATACTTGAAGTGCTATTGGATTTTTGATAACATATATCATCCTACCCCTGAAGTAACAGTGATGAAATGGTATTCGGTATTTGATAACATATATCCTCCTGTTCTCGCAGTAGTAGTGAGTGTTCAAAAATGTTCTTATTGGATATTTGACCGCTTATATGCTCATGCTCTTGAAGTAGCGGTAAGTGTTTTGAAATCTTTATTATATTTGTTGTCGATGACACATTTGCCTCCTCAGTAGCTCTTGTCGTGTCAATAGATAATATGGCTCCAGAACCCAAAATTATCAAAGAATGCCAGGAGCATTCAGGCATAAATGAATGAAAGGAGGCAATTAAGAAAGAATAAGGGTTTTCGCAGAAAGCTGATATTAATTATGATATTTCTTATTCTCTTATAATGGATTTTATTACGTTCCGTTATTTGATCAATATGACAACTATGATGTATGTTGAGATGCATTTAATGGGCGTTGTAGCTAAAAGGTTACTTGCCGAAGATATTTATTTAAAAAACCCTGAAGGATTGAGTCCTAAAGGTTTATTATTGTACTCTTTTATCCTTTGCCAATTTTTTCCAAAAGAGTTTTCCTTGGCCAAAGGTTTTTAATGAGACAATTTGTGCGCTTTTGTAGCGTATGTCAACTATTCTTTTTCCTTTGCTAGTTTTTCCCATTGGATTTTCTAGCAAAGTGATGCGACTTTCGGCAAGTGAACTCGTCATACAAGTAATATAGTGAAAAAAGTGGGGTTGTCATTCCCACGAGGATTGATGTATCAAACACTAACTTATCTATGCGACCAAAGTTGGATCGATTGATAAAGGGGTTTTTCTTGAGAATATGATTTAAATTGTAAAAAAGAATTTAAAAAATAATATTTTTAATTTTTAATTTTCAATATTAAGAACTAAGAACAATAATCAAGAATGCAAGAACACAATCAAAAACGGTTGAAATTAATTAAAGCCAAACGTAGCTAGGATTTCGATTTCCCCACTATTTTTCTAACAGCTCTACCCTTTCATGCACACGTTATTGACGATTCTTTCTTGATTATCTAAACCCCTCAATTCCTTGGTGATTTAATCCTTTACTTTATTCAAAACCATAATCCCCTTAGTAGTTTTTTCTAGAGCAAGCATTAAGAATAAGAATCATAAAGTCATAGAATTATTAAGTATATGCCTAGGTTATACAAATCCTAACAATTAATCAATCGGAATCAAGAATGAAATATTCCTATTGTCATGCAATATTCATATGTTCATCTATGAGTGATCAATTCATAAACAAAAATAGTCGTGGGGAAACAAATTAATTGCATAATATTGAAACATGAATATTGATTACAAGAAAGAATAAAACAGTGTTAGGATTTACCAAAAAAAAAAAAATAGTGTTAGGAACCCATTGGTTCCATCTTTCCATAATGACATAAAGAACCTTTCATAGAAACAAGAATAATAGATGATAGAAAACTAAAGAAAAACATAGAAAACTTGGTCATTTCCCTCTCCTAAGTCGTAGCCATCATGAGCTATGTCCTCCAAAAGTTATGAGTTTCCTCTGAAATTAGATTAAATATGTGTAGGAACCCTAGCTTTGGGTTAAAATCCCGTAATGGACCTTAGTTGGGTCGCAACCGGGCGTTAAAAGGGGCCAAAAAGCATTAATTTTTTTTTCACCCAACACCTTAAGGTTTTAGGTTAAACTGATTCTTTACATGGTATCAGAACTTCAGTGGCCATAAGATCACGAGTTTGATCTTCACCGCCCAAATAAGCATAAGGTAAAACCAAAAAAAAAAAAAAAAAAATTGGGTCTATGCAATATCCATGTTTCAGGACCAAAGGGCTGTTACGTGAGAAGGTATGTTGGAAAATAATATAAACCGTTAAAAAGACCTTAATCCAATACCTTAAAATTTTAGGTTAAATTGATTATTAATAGTGAGTACAGCGCGCTACATTCACAACAATCAGATTTTAGCACCTTCTCAAGGCTAGTATAGTGTGTTCACGCACACACTTCTAATTGGTACCATCGAAATATTGGGTTACTCTTTGTCATTTGTACCCTTGCTCCTTGCATGGACCATTAGCTCCATATCTAGACTATCATTGTTCCATACCGAACATGAAGAAAATATTATCAAACTAAATTACTTTTACTGTGATCAAACTAAATTACATTAGATAAACTATAGTTTACTATAATTTTTCACTAATAAAATTTCCGAGGATGGGATGCGGGTATAAATTGCCTTGCTGACTAATAATAAAAAAATTGTAGAATAAAATTATTATTCCTGACTAATATATTTATTCTTACTTTCGTACCTCACTATTATTATTTTTTAAAAAATCTAACTCATTGACAAAACGGACAATAATAGGTGACTCTACAATGAATTTTAATCATAAAATAAATAAATCGATACAATTTTGATCAATGAGAGACTTTAACAACGTACTATAGTTAATGAGTCCCTAGTCCGTATTACATGGTTCCCACAAATCTCAATTGACTTAATGGCTTTAAACCATAAAAGGAGTAAAGAACTTCAATCACCGAAAGCATAGATATCTGGGCTACGAAAGAGAGATACTTTTGAGGCAACAGATTTCGAATGATGTATCGTTGCTTGCATTCATATATGACTACCTTACTTGGTTTGTCTAAAAGCTACATGTACCGTCAAGGAATTAGTGAATGATCTAAGCTCTGATTCAATTAAGCTGAAACATGACTTAATTTACCCAAAATAACAAAAACTCCTTATACAAGGAATGAATGAAGTTACTTATCTATACTTCTTGTTTAACTTTTCTGTTGCGTATACTAATTATTTCATATAATTTGAAGAGTAAATAATTTTTTTGGTCCTCCGCAAATTTTATGATGCCCGATTTAGTCCCTAGCAAATAAAAAGGCTCATTGTGGTCCCTAAGAAATTCAAAATGGACCAATTTAGTTGAAATCGTGGTCCTCACAATTTCAAAAAAGACCCATATTAGTCCTCAAAAGGACTAAAATAGGTTCATTTTGTATTTGTTAGAGACCACGATTGGCCTTTTTATTTGCTAGGGACTAAAATGGACATCGTAAAATTTGCTGAGGACCAAAAAAGGAATTATAATTTAGGCTTCATAACTGATAGTTGAACACGTAATCCTTATCTGGACGTAAATTAAATAACATCTTCTAGAAACCAAAACTCTGATTTGCTGACTGATTGTGAAATTTTCAAGATTATCATTATAAGATAGTCTTGAAAAGAACAAGATATATGGAAATAAATTAGACTTCTCAAGCAGCCCGTAAGAGTTGAAATCAGTCTGAAAGGAAATGTCAAATAAATGAATATTTAATAAAATCAATCTACAAGTAAAAATCTTGATATAAAAAAAATTAAAATTACACCCTTTCACTTTTATTGATAAGTGATTTTTTTTGTAATTTTACTTAATAACTTGATTTCATTCTCAGTTAAGCGGGTACTTTAGCGGCAACGATCGTTATGATTCTGGCGGGCAAAGAGTGGTGCATACTTACAAAGATTATATTCCGATGTTCAAATCAATTTAAGTGTACCTAAAGCAAGATACAAACCTCATGGCGAAAAACGTGAATTTGCAGTACGTCAACTATATATTTTGTCCAGGATAAATATATTTAATCAAACCTAATGATTAAATTAATGAAATTCAAAGACACACACGTATTTATATCGGGTCAGCATGGGAAAATAGCATCATCAATTTGGGTTATCCTACACGGCTTGTACTGAAGCATTCTCGGTAATAAGGGGATAACTAATAGGATAACATGTACGAACCTTTGTTTTTGTTACTTAAAAAGAGTTAATATAAGTAATTGTCAATCATCTGTATTTAAATTATCCAATTGAATTCAACTACTAATGTTTTTAAATAACGCCTGAAAATTGTCCCCCACCCCACCACACACACAGACACACAGTTAATATAAATAATTGTCAATTATTGGTATTTAGATTATCAGATTGAATTCGACTATTTAGATCTTTTAATAAAGTCTGGAAATTGTCTTGGATCAGTGGTATTTAAATTATCAAATTAAATTCGACTATTTAGGTCTTCAAATAAAGCCGAAAATTGTCCTGGATGGTTGGTATTAAAATTATCAAAATGAATTTGACTATTTCGGTCATTAAATATTAAAGCCGAAAATTGTCCTGCATGGTTTCTATTTAAATTATCAATTTGAATTCAACTATTTAGGTCTATAAACGAAGCTCCAAAATTGTCATTATTGATGGTTGGTATTTAAATTATAAAATTGAATTCGATTATTTAGGTCTTTAAATAAAGCCCAAAAATTGTCCTGAACATAATCCCCCCACGGTAACAAAAAAATAAATATTATAATATATGTTAAGAGTTGGGTTATGGTTCACGCTTCATATGAAGCATACCCCCCACCAGTAACGAGTAATATTTTTTTTAAGCCAAAGATACCAGAACTATAGACTCAGAATTTAATAATTTTATTGTTATCAAAGAAATAACGTCATGTGATGGTTCCTACCTAACCAATGATTATCTGTTTTTGTTTTCATGTTCAACTCTTTGTTTCCTATTTTGTTGAGTATTCATTCATTTTTAAATTGCATGGCACATAGCATGATTAATTTAGCACGCCAAAAAAAAAAAACGGCATTTTTGAATTAGAATTGAAGCCAACTTGATCTTTCCAGAAGTAAAAGCAAGACAACATCACAAACCCTTAAATCCACCCATTCCATTTTTGCGTGGAAGCAACCAACCTCCTCCTCCATCTCGCATGTATAAAATCACACAACCATCATCCAAACAAACCCACAAAAAGAAGAAAGCAAATCTAATTCACACATAGTGTGTGAGAGTGCACTTAATTCAGGGTTTAGGAAAACAGAAAAAAGAAAGAGCACAAAAATGAGTGGAAAAACCTTATTATCCTCAACCTCAAGCACCCAACAAACAGGTGATACAAGCATGACAAGCAAGGCATTCGCAGGAGCTGGAAACCTTATCAAGCTCCTTCCAACAGGTACTGTCTTCCTGTTTCAGTACCTAAGCCCTGTTCTCTCCAACAATGGTCACTGCCACACCATAAACAAGTATCTAACTGGCATTCTGCTTGTGGTATGTGGATTCATCTGCGTCTTTGCTTCCTTCACCGACAGTTACACCGGCAGCGACCAAAAGAAGCACTACGGCATCGTAACCACCAAGGGACTGTGGCCATCTCCGGCGTCCGAGTCGGTTAACTTGTCGGCGTATAAGCTCCGGTTCGGGGACTTCGTGCATGCTTTGACTGCGTTTATTGTGTTCGCTGTTTTGGCGCTCCTTGACACCAAGATAGTACAGTGTTTCTACCCGGAATTTGAGTCATCTGAGAAGGTTCTGATGCAGGTTCTGCCAGCAGCTATTGGGGCAGTTACTAGTGCTGTGTTCGTTTTGTACCCTAATAATCGCCATGGAATTGGATACCCTGCAACCTCTGAGCCTAACGATCCTTCCTCACAAAAGTCTCAGGCATAACCACCGTGATGTTTGATACGCCAACTTGCTATATATATATATTTTTAGTACACTAAAGTGGGTTAAAGAGCAGTATTCTACTAGGTTCAGGAAAAACTCTTCAATCTCTTTAAGGGTTTACGAAAGATATTACGTATTATCTACCAATAAAGTCCTCGTATTGACCCCGTGGGATTTGAACCCATGTCCTTATGAAGTATGAGTCAAACCCTTCGTCAATTGTGCTCACTTTTTGTTGGGAACTTCCTCTATTTTCGTTGTGCTTGATTTGTCAACTTTCTTGTAAATGACAACTTCTAAGTTATATATTTTATGCAAAATATAGTCTTTTTCACTTATATAAAAGATAAATTAAATGTTACATTACTCTTAAATCATTTAATTTTTTTATCATTTATTTTGTGGTGGGTAAGAGTGAGTCTTGAAACAGCTATATGGTTGACCAGAACACTGGCTAGAGTATAAGATATAATCTCTTTACAAAAATATAAAGATAAATCTCATACACAATTGATTCTTTGTCCTACCGTCACAAGGTGGGGAGTTTTGTGTAACAGAATTTTTATTTTATCATGGGTTTTTGTTAGTATGAAATGAGAATATCATAAAAATATCTTTCGATCACATTATATAATTCAATTTTTTTTCTTTATTTATAATGATTTTAAATTACTTTTTTTTCTTCATTTTCAACTATTTCAAGATTCAAACTTCCATAATTTTCCATTTGATTTTTCAAAATATTTAGTGTTCACCATACAAAATAGACATCGCACTTTGTTTAATGTTTACAAGAGAAAATGAACATTTAGGTTGACCGAAAGATTAGAGATATAAATAATTGAGGTTAAGTGCTGACGTACGATGGAACCTTGGACCCTGAAGCTTTGGACATAGAGATATATATATATATATATATATATATGAGTAAACACCCTTTTTAGTCCTTGACAATATCTATGAAGTCCTTTTCAGTCCCTGGCAATAAAAAAGTAACCAAATTGGTCCCTGAAACCAAGAAGGGCCACTCTACATATTTGGAAGTTGACATAAGGACTAACATGGCCTTTTTTTTGTAACTTCAGGGACCAATTTGGTCCTTTTTTATTGTCAGGGACTAAAAAAGACTTCGTAAATATTGACAGGGACTAAAAAGAGTGTTTATTCTATATATATTAAGGGGATAAATGAGCCCATCATAGCAAGGATTTTTTCCTCGACTAATAGGTTGTCTGCCTTCTGGGACAGTTCCTCTTTGTTATCGGTGGGCACTCAAGAGTAAAAAATTATTTTAACCCAAAAAGTTTAATTGTTGGATGAGATTATAGTAATGGTGTAATAATGGATTTATATTTCTTCAACGCATAACGAGTTTTCTTATCAGAGAGACAATTGAACATAAAGGGTGAATGATTCATCAAACTAAATTTACCTGTGCTAAAAAATTGTGTAATATCGAACTCATAATCACTTAATCACATTATCTCTAATATAATGTAAAGAACCATTTTATCTCCAACATTGAGATCCAACGATCATTATGATTCTGGCAGGCGAGGACTAACGATGCATACAGGACTCCCGTATTCAGATCAATTTTTGAGCGAAGTGTACGTACCGAAGATACAAACCGCATAGCGAAAATCGTGAATTTGTCGTACGTCGGCTCACTTGAACTATATATTTCATTGTTATAAAATCCGGACCGTATTGATCGACCCGATCGGGACACTGTGTTATTGATTCAACTAGTGGGCCATTGGTTCAATCGCTTAAACCGGACACACAAACATACACACACACACATATATATATATATATTCAAATTAAAAAATAATATAACCTAATAACTTAATTTTGAAATATAAAAAATCTTCTTTATTAATAATATGAATATTAAGAAAACTTGTTATTGTGAGTAAAATAATTAATGAAAATGAAGTTGAAACAAATATATTGATAGAAGAAAAAAATAGTAGATTAAGAAAATATAAAAATATAAATACAATTCTGAAATTAATAATTTTTTAAAAGAAAAAAACTTTTCAATTTCTATTTTGTTTCGAAGTAAGAAACTTTTAAATTTCCAATGCAACACATGCATTTTATTAATTAAGGGAATAATGTATGTCCTTTTAAAGGATATAACCATATGTCATTTTAGATCTCAATCGTTGATTTTCGTCAATCAACGATTATAATTTATTGAATAAAAATTATTAATTAGTTAATAATAAGTTTGGCCCATTAAGTTTGACTCAATAAATTATAATCGTTAATGGACAGAAATCAATGGTTAAGATATAAAATAATTTATGATTATATCCTTTAAACGATAGATATTTTTTCCATTAATAAATTACTTTTCCAAAAACGAGAAAGCCCTTCAACTTGTTTTGGAGAATGGGTAGTTGGTTTGGAGTAATTCTTATCCTTAATGTGTACTTTTCGAAAACAAAAAGCAAATTCCAAGAACCACTTGAAACCCTTCTTCTTTCATTATCGTATTTGGGATGAAGACTTGGGTGAGTCTAATCTGAATTATTATGCATGGCATATCCTGTCTGTCTGTTGGAAATCATTTTCTGGATTGTTTTTAGTAGTTTCCTTTTTATGTAGAAATTACAAATTAAACACCTTGCAGCACTTGCAAGTGCTGGCGAGAAATTTAAATTCCTAAAACCAAACCCAGATGTTTCTCATTTCTGCAAACAAAATCCAGCATTTCTCATATGTCTGCTAACCTCATTTTTTTAGTACTATTGTTTCAATCTATAATATTTCTTCTTCATCTATGAGGGTGGTGGTTACCATGAATAGAAAAAAGAGCAACAATGAAACACGAAGAAAAAGTCTTAGAGAGAGATAAAATACCATGGTTAAGAAGGCTATGCTAGTGGATGTCAAGATCTTGAAAGGAAATGATAAAATACCATAAAGATTTTTTTTCATCTTTGTCAAGATCTATAATCTTTCTTCTTCTTCATCTCCGACGAGATTTTTTTTAACCGGCGAGTCACCGATCTTTCAATACTCGGCCGGTTCAACCCGATTTGTTGACATGTCCAGTTCATTAAGTTTCCTGGACCAGTCACACGGCCAGTTTACCGGTTTCCAGTTTGAACCGGCTGGTCCGATCCAGTTTTTATAACACTGATATATTTTGTCCAGGATAAATGTATTTAATGCAATCTAATGATTAAATTAATGAAATTTAAAGACACGTACCTATTTATATCGGATCAGCCGGTCAGCACAGGAAAATAAAAATAGCATCGTCAATTTGGGTTATCCTACACGGCTCGTACTGAAGCGTACTTGGTAATAATTAAAGGGATAACTAATAGGATAAACTTTTTTTTTAATAAATCACAAGATATTTTTTATATGAAATAATTCTGTTCAGATCGGATACAGAATTAAGATTTTAAATCCTCTTAAAATTAATATTATGAAGGATCGAATAGATACTCTCACCTCTACATGCTCAACTTTCATTCATTAACTGAGCTACCATCGAAGTGACTAATTCCGGGAAATTGAGCGGCGTTGGGGACAAAGAAATTGTTGGAGTTGCCTTTTTTTTTATCCAGTACCAACATATATACTTGATATTCAGAAAAAAGATCTCAATGGACAATGGAGATGGAATAGCCGTGGGTTGGTTAGGACATCCTATTTTTCGAGATAAAGAGGGGCGTGAACTTTTTGTACGTCGTATGCCTACCTTTTTTGAAACATTTCCGATTGTTTTGGTAGACGGAATTGTTCGAGCCCTCATATAATAACTTTTATAACTCTACCGTATCTTTTATTTCATTTATTTGGAAAGAATCACAAAAACTTTTTGAATTATGGATACAAGAATTCAAACTCAATACGTAATTTTCGCTTGATATTTTGGCATTATAACCACAGAGAACGTTGGAATTATAGGATTCACTTCAAAAGTTTCAAACTTTCTATTACACATATCCATTTACGTTAAAACCAATATTTGGGTATTTTTGTTTGAGCCGTACGAGATGAAATTCTCATATACGGTTCTCTCGGGGGTTCATTTAGTTACGAAACTTTGTTTTTATTACTTAAAAAGAGTTAATATAAATAATTGTCAATCATTTGTATTTAAATTATCAAATTGATTCGACTACTAAAGTTTTTAAATTATTGTCAATATTTGGTATTTAAATTATCAGATTGAATTCGACTATTTAGATCTTTAAAGCCCGGAAATTGTCTTGGATTGTATTTAAATTATCAAATTAAATTCGACTATTTAGGTCTTGAAATAAAACCGAAAATTGTCCTGGATGGTTGGTATTTAAATTATCAAAATGAATTTGACTATGTAGGTCATATAAAGCCGAATTGTCCTGCATGGTTGGTATTTAAATTATCAAGATGAATTTGACGATTTAGGTCATTAAAAAAAGCCAAAAGTTGTCCTGGATGGTTGGTATTTAAATTATCAATTTGAATTCGAATTTTAAGGTCTTGAAATAATGGTTGGTATTTAAATAATCAAAGTGAATTCCTCTATTTAGGTCTTTAAATAAAGCCGAAATTTATCCTGGATGGTTAATATTTAAAAGGTATTTTGGGTTATATAACTATTATGTCACATGCGTTAAAATTTCTTGGAGACATATAGTTAAATGGAGTCCATTGGTTTTTTTTTTCTCTTTCTTGCTTCCACTTTCTCTATCTTTTATGCTTGTGTTTGCAGGATAATATTTTTCTGTTCATGTGACATGATAGTTATATAATCCAAATTTAAATTATGAAATTGAATTAGTCCTTTATGGTTGTTGGTATTTAAATTATCAAATTGAATTCAATTATTTAGGTCTTTAAATAAAGCCCGAAAAATAAGAGAGATAAGTAATTTAGATAAGTGATAAAAATAAGGTCTTATACTGAGAATGAAGAAGAATAAAATAAGGGGAAAATTTTTGTGCTTTTAAAGGATGTAAGTTGTGTCCTTTTAGTTTTTTACT